AGGGGTTGGCTATGTATTTGGCCAAGTTTAAACAAACGACGTGCACTTCTAGTTCATGTAAGACAACGAAACTCCTAACATAATTCATTTAAACAAATGAGTGCCTTTAATTTAACACAGTGTTCAAAGGTTGCTTTTGAGAGATTAATGTTAAGTATGGACTATGGAGGACCTTAAAGAGTTTAAAAAAATGGCTTTTTCCAATTAGATATTTATGAGTGATTGGTAGATGTATTTTGAGGAGTGAAAACCTCGTAGAATAAATGAGAGGATGATAAATAATGGTTAGAGGTGTGGGTGGTCTTGGTCGTCAAATTATACCATGAGGAATGAGAAGCAAAAAACATAAAAATCTCGTGAGGAGAGGAGAAAAAGTGAACATCGACAATTTGAAATAACTTATAAAATTCATATGTGGGGTACATCTAAATTGCAAGTATTAGGGTATGAAAAATTAATTTGAAAACTATAGTGATGCAACTCGATCTATGGTGACTCGAGAAATAGCTAGGTTGTTCATTATTGTCATGTCAAATTGAAGTCATGTCTCATGCATGCACTCAAAATTTGGTAAATTGAACTTCTTGTTAGTTAAAAAGCTAAACTTCAAAATAATCGCTGAATAAAGACCTTCCTAATCTAAATAATACTTAACATGGTCATAATTTCTCATATAGTATTTAACTAACACAATTTATATTTTTATTCATATGCAGTAAATTACGGTTATCAAGTACAATGGAGAACAATGAAAATACCAGGTTAAGTAAAAATGGTAGCAATAAGAGTTATGTTTATGCAAATAATATGATTGTTTGCAACATTCAATGAATTTTACGATGTTATGAAGACGTTGGGACTTATCAAAAGTATTAATCTATTTACAAAGAATACCCAATCAAGGAAAATATCAGTGTCTGGTATAAGTGTTAAACCAATAGAAAAATTAACAACAATCAAGTTCTCAAGAATGCCATTATAAAATGCCATTATAATATTGGAGAAATGAATGTATAGTTCACCTCCCAGGAAAGATTGCAATCATTAGTATAAAGGACAATTAATTGCGCAAGCATGGCTAGTAAAAAATAGGTCGAACACAATGAAACAAAAATAATATAGGTGAAAGATAAAGAGAAAAGAAGAAGATACAGTGTATTATGTGATAAATATGTTAGAGAAAATACTCATAAATAATGTGGGCAAGACGATAATTTTATCCTTATCATTATCGAACTGCTCCCCTAATACTTACCACTTATGAAATATGATAGGGAATTATTGTCATATATAACTTGTTTCTTCTTGTAATACATGTAAAGTATGTTAGGGGAGAGTTCTATAACTTGTCAAGCACTATAAGTGTATGCACTTTATTAATTATATATGTATTATTATTTATGTTATTTCCACTATCCTTTTAGAATATATAATGATTTAAATTTTAGAATGAACTTCGGCTTACGAGTCATTGCCCAAACTAGTGCAACGTTATTTTGATAGTTTACCCAAGCTCGAATGAGTAGTATTCTCTCGAGATTTATAAAAGTATTTAGTAGGAGAGTGCGTGCGTTAACGGTTAAATAAGCTCAAAATAGGGAAGACGATAAGAAAATAAAATAGTTGGAAGTCAATTAAGGTAAGAAAGAGATTATTTGTCAGGGTTGAAGGTGTTTGAGAGATAGGCAGTTGAAATCAAATAGGTCAAGCAAGATAGCTTGAGAAACAAGAATTATCACACGATGAACTTGGCTTGATAGTCGTATGATCACTTGCTAGCACCATCATATGATCACTCGTTAACATCATCCCGATCATATTATAAGACTCTTGTGTTGTACAACAATGTATAAGTTATAAGAATAAAACTAAATGCTATTTTTTTGAATTCTCAAACTCCTCAAACCGCTAGATGCACTCAACTTATGAAAATCGATAATTGCAACTTGGTTAAATATTTCCTACGCAATTTCTAACTTGCACGGGCCCAAGATCTAACCTCGAGCTCAGCTGCTTAGGGTTTCACTTTCGTATTGAATATAATATATACCAACACATATAATTAACACAATTTATGAATGTAAATATAAACCAACAATCAACTTTAGGTTAAGAAAAATAACATCATTAAGTATAGTTATTATAATAGAAATTATTTTAAATTTAAGATAACATATTAAAATCATATAAAAACTAACTTGAAGTAACTTTTGTTATGATATTTCAATATAAACTCTACAATAATTAATAGCCTGTAATAATTTATGTACAAAGTAAGTCGCACAATGATTTATGAAAGACAAAGTTAATATTCAATAAAGAAGTTATATGTGAATAACAAGAATCTCGTCGTGAATGATACTTGAAGAATAAATTAATTTTATTATCAAGAGATGCATATCATAGTATTTATCATTTTATTGATTTTAAAGCCTTCAAATTCCATCCCTTACCCGCAAGCATTTGATATTTTCGAGCAACTTAACCACATTTTGAATAACAAGATAAACAAGATAGACGAATATTAAATAAGATAAAAAAATATAAATTGACTAATTTTACATATTGCATATAATCTTCATGTAGGTGATTGTAATCTCTCGTATGGGTGATAATTATTGATTATGATAATTAGTGCTTGGTTTAAGTCACTTATAGCAAATGTGAACGTATTACTTTTGATTGCCATTTTATTTGCGATAATTGTGTTGACCATTCAACAATTCTTTTTATTATATTTTTTAATTTAATATCTCAAATTATGTGAATAACACAAAATGTAGTTAGCTAACATGGACAAAAAAAGGGTTGACAACTAAAATTTAACGGGCATATCTTTTGTTCTTTGATGCCTTGAAAAAGAAAATACAAGCGTGGAGAATTTTATTATGAACCTTTTATTTCAAATCATGTTTGGAAAAAAAATATGAATTTCATAAGTATTTTAAAGGGAGTAATGGTGTTAACTTAGATATTGAGATTAAAGCGTATTATTAGGTGTGGATATTTTTCTTTCACCCAAAATGTATAACTATGTAAGTAACTAAGGGAATTCACTCAGTATTCATTTGTCTTTATTATGACATTCAAATTTTGAGGAACACAACACATGTCATGTATATTTACTTCTTTTGCAAATGAGGTTTGCGAAATTTAAAACTATTCTAAAAATTTAAAACATTCAAGATTAACTACTTAAGATCAAAGAGCTTTTCTCATTTGATTGACTAATATGTGCATGATAAGAAGAAAATTAACGAGAAGTAATCATAATTCTTATGTTAATTTGATAGCTTTAAACATTTACTACCGTTAGTATTTATGCCTACAAGGGAACTTCATTAAAAACAAGTTATCCATTGTTTAAGATTTTTAATTTTTTTGTTATTTATGTTAATAATAATGATTTATACATGATCAAGATACATTATGGTGAACTACTATATATTGAGTAATATAAACAATTTTTATTTTCCTTATATATATAATTTTTATTTTTCTTAATTAACTACGTCGTATTTCATAAACGAATGCTATTGTATTTCACTAGTATGCCATACATTTTTTTTTTCCAAATTTATATCATAACTTTTATAGAAAAAAAAGGGAATAAAAAGAAATATAATTTTTAGAAGTTGACTGAACAATTCAGTTGATTCTATTAACAAATTTAACTCATTATCAATTGATACTTCTAATCAATTATAATGAATCTATGAGTAAGCGCACAGTACTCTATCATGGCAGACCTCACTTGTGGGAATTCCATTTATTGTTGTTGTTTTAAATAAGAATTTTAGTTGTCTAATTCAAATAACTTTATTTGTTCATTTTAAGACATAACCGAGAACCTCCAAATGAACAATTTCAAGAATTTTTACTTTAAAAAAGAAAAACTATTTTTTTCCTTTTTTATTTTGGTTAAAAAATCATAATCCAAAAAAGCCCCAAATTGTAGAGAGAACAAGTGTGCAGTATGCAGTCACTTTCAAACCAGTAATTTATTTTCTATAAATAACACCTATCATAGATAACAAAAAGATCTATCTACTTTGCTCCTCTAATAATATGTAACTTTCATTCTATAACTATATATAAAAGGTAAGAAAAAATCATGAGAACTACTCAGGAGATATATTTTTAAATTTATATCTAAAACAATAAATAAAGAAACAGGAAAAGTAATAAAAGGCTGCAGAAACAAAAACACTTTCATCAAATGCCTTGCAGAAGAATTGATGGCGGCTATAATGGAAAAATAAAAAGAAATATAGAGAGAGAAAAAGGAAATAACTTTATACGTATCTAGAAAGAGATATAATAATAGTATTATCTTGAATGTACATTTAGATTTAGGAGAGAGAAATAAGAGAAACATATATAAACATGGGATTACAAGCATACTTCAACAGATTCTGTTAATCTCTTTTGAACATCTTCAGAGTCTTTTGAAAGTCTAAAGAGAATGAAGAGAAGTGAGAAAAGTGTGAAGAGAGAGGATGGGGACAAGCGTCCAGGGCTCCACGTGGCATGTTCTAAGTGGAAAAGTGTCTTGGCTCGCTTCCCACAAAGCCCCAGTCAACCCCACCACCCCAAAGAACCCCCCTACCCACCCCCATTCCCCCCTGCCTATGTCAGTGTTGGTGTTGGGTGTGTTTGTGTTGTGTTGCGTTGTGTTGTGTGTTATGATGTGTAACCCCCAAAGTCCTATAACCCCGGTGAATCCGTATTTGGATGCACTCTCTCTCCTCTCTCTAAAACCTCCCTTTCGCTTTCACGCTCTATTTATATCTTTTGTCTGCCTTCTACCGCTTTCTCTCTCTTTTCTCTCGCGCTTGTATTCCCTCATGCCCTAAATTGGGTTACTCCCCCTTTGCCCCTTTTACTTGAGGTTCTTGATTCAGCTCCTTATATATAAAGATTGAATTTTTATGAGTTTTTGATCCATAGAAAAGATTGGTATGTGCTAATCTTTATCTGGGTTGGTCTCATTCTTTATGTGGGGTTGCTTTTTTTGTGTTTTTTTTAATGTAATTTGAGCTGATTCTTGTGTGCTTTTGCTGTTCATTTTGATGTGGGTGTTGCTTGATTGGTGGGAAATGTTATGCGTTTTTAGCTTCAATTTTGCTGTACTTTTGATGTTTGGTGATTTAGAGTGTGTTTTTGCGTTGCTAAGTGAAATGGTTTGAGGGGTTTTGCAAAGAGCTGAATGTCTGTGCCTCTGTGGTGCTTAGGTTATGATCATTTATGGTTCAATTCAGCTGTGCATGCATGTGATGGTTTTTTACTATAGCACATTGATTAAGGGCTTGTTCTGCTGAATTGATAAAGAGGAAAATGTAATCCATATTGCTTTAATTATTCCAAATGGCTTTAGTTAGTCGAGTGACTATGAGCATTTGTATGGCTGGTTTCAACTTGATTCAAAAGTCTATTGAAATAGAAATTAAGGATTCCTTGATAGCAATTATGCTGTTTGCCTTAACTGGTTGAATTTTGACTTAAGTTGTAGTATATTAATTTTTTTTACGTCAATAGCTTTGATATGAATGAAATGCGTAGGTCTCAGTTGGAAGTGAACCACATGGTCTAATTTTCATATCTCATAACCTGTCTTACTTTGGCATAAGCCTTTGTAATCAGATTCTGTTTGAGGGCTTGGTTTAAATCCTTTCCACACATATATATTCAGCAGATCGTCTAATTTTCCGTATCTCGTAACCTGTCTTACTTTGGAATAAGCCTTTGTAATCAGATTGTTTGAGGGCTTGGTTTAAATCCTTTCCACACATATATATATTCAGCAGATCGTCTAATTTCCCGTCTCTCGTAATCTGTCTTACTATGGCATAAGCCTTTGTAATCAGATTCCGTTCGAGGGCTTGGTTTAAATCCTTTCCCGTATATCAATAATCAGCACATGGTCTAATTTCCCGTCTCCCATAACCCGTCTTACTATGGCATTAGCCTTTGTAATCAGATTCTGTTTGAGGCCTTGGTTTTAAATCCTTTCCCCATATACCTATATTTATAGCAGTCAAACTGATTGTCCTGGAAGTTGGTGGTTTCTGAGTAATAGTGACGTAATTGCATTTTAATTATCTAAACTGCCCGTTAACTAAGTTTAATTTCTGATATTCCTTGAATCTTCATTTCTGATCCGTGTTGTGTCTCAACGATGTTGTACTCGCATATCCCGTTAGGTGCATCTTCAGTTTATGAAAGTTTTCAGCTACTTCTCTCTTTTTGTCCTAGTTCGGGAAGTTTCTGAAAGATATGTGTTGCTTTTTGTTATATTAGTCAACATAGTGTATTCATCATATCTGTTAATTTGGATGCAATTTTTTTCTGAACCTGTCCTACTACATTAATAGCGTACCTTACTGCAGACTTAGTCCTGATGTTCATTTTAGATTAGCCAATTATCTACTTTAGGCCGCTAACTTCATTTAAAGGTTAATTGTAGTGATTTTCTAGAAATTATCAGGTCAGTACTTGTCTCTGCAAGGTCAGTCCATGTTTAGTGCTCTCAATGATTTTATTTCTTGTGTTCTTTCCACCATTTAATTTCGAGGGAGCTTTCTTCTTTCTTACACATTAATTAAGATGAGTTTTATGGATATAATTGCAGCATTCTGCTTTGCACCCTCTTTCTTCTTTCGTACACATTAATTATGCCAGGTCTTCACAAGTTAGTACCATGTACGTAGTAAATGATTATTTGCAACTAAAACAGTGTCTGATTTACTTTTTCAGTGAATGAAGTATTTAATCAGTTAACTAAGTTGACATCTATGTGTGCATGTTTTAGAAAGCTTCAGCACAGTATGGTATGTTCATCCTTAAAAAGTGGCTTTCTCCATTTCTTTTATAATTTATAGTGTTAAGAGCGTCGAAGAAGTCCTCTTGAAAGAAAAATAGAAGAAGGGACAAAGTAGAAGCGAGATCAATGTCTAGGGAGCTTTGTTGAAATGTACACTAAAATGTACTAATTCTTTTGCCTATTGGAATAGTCTACTATGTTTTCGGTTCATGCAGTATGCTCAAATCTTCCTTCTTTGCCTTTTTTCCTGAAAGGTGTTCTATTTTTGTTCTTGAGGTTTATGATCTAATGCTCTTAGCAACAAACCTTGCAGGAATATGTGATAACATTTGATGACTGGAGGTCATGATATGAGATGTACAACCCCGCTTGCAATGATGAAAGAAAACGGTTCACTGTCCAGTAAAATGCTTAACGGAGACTGGGTCTTAAAACGCAAGCGTCGGAAACTACCATCTGGACCTGACACATCGAATGGCAAAGAAAAGGCTTCAAAACCCTTGGATTTATCGTCAAGTAACTCATCCAAAAGTCGAGTGAAGAGCGAAATTACTTCAAGTCGTTCTTCTTCTAGCAAGAAGAAAGGAAATGATGGGGTTAGTATGTTCTTTATGATCTACTTAATTTCTTTTTCAATTTATGGTTGCGAAGTACATGGCAAACAAGACTTGAGCTGTAGTTCAGGAAGAAAATTTCCAATGAAACTTACTTCTTGATCAGGAGATCAACATGCTTCTTTAGCTTGCTATTCTTAAAGTTTTTTGTTGTCCTCATCTTTTTGCTCATTCTTTACGAGTATGTTACCTTTAAGCTCTCGCTGTTAGCTTTGCTATCGTCTTTCCAGGACAGTAAGGCCAAAATATATAGTGCTATTTGAGAATTTATTGCCTTGCAGTGTGATTTAAGTATTTTCCAACTGAGCTTTTTATCGCTTTCTATACATTTGCATTTTCGAACTACTTTTGACTCTTGTTTTCTTTTGCTCTCATCCAGTACTATTATGAATGTGTTGTTTGTGATCTTGGTGGAAATTTGCTTTGTTGTGAAAGCTGTCCGCGAACCTACCATCTTCAGTGTCTGGATCCTCCTCTAAAGGTATATTTGGTAGTTACTTTATTTAAAGGCAGATTTACTTTTCTTTTAAATCTTTCATGTATTAATTTGAGTTTTCCTTTTCATTTTATCCCATCCACTTTATTTTTGTTACTGATAAATTTTTGTATGTGTTCAGCGTATACCGACCGGAAAGTGGGAATGTCCTAGTTGTTATGAGAAGAAGGGTCCCCTTGAGCCAGTTAATCACCTAGATACTGTCGCCAAACGAGCAAGAACGAAGGTTACAGGTGGAAAAGCAAAAAGTGAAAATAGATCATCTGAAATCTCCAAGGTATCCCTAATATTTGAAAGCTCCATTCCTGGTAAGAGAAGATCCTCGGCTAGAGAAAAAACACCTTTATCACATCGCAACCCAATGGAGAAGCTGGGTACTTCCCCCAATGATGTTTCTTCTGATATTAAACCAAGTCATCATTCCCAGCATGGTGCTGCGGATGATAAGTCATCGTACGCAGGTGTTGATAATGAAAAGGAGGTGCCTCCTGCTGCAGATACTCCAGCTGAGAAGGAGTTGCCTTCTTCTGATACACCAGTTGAGAAAGAGGTGCCTTCTGCAGATACTCCAGTTGAGAAAGAGGTGCCTTCTGCAGATACTCCATTGGACAAGTCAAGCTCTTCCATGAATGAAGCGACACCCTTTTTGAATTTATCAGATTCAAAGAAAAATGAAAAAGCCTCTGAAAAGAAGCCTGACTTACCTTCTAGTGATAGATCTCCAGGCGATGAACCTGTAGCTGTGTCGGAGGCTGCTTCTCGGAAAGACAGGAAAAGAAAACCTAATTTTTACAACATTAACAGTCAGAGCAAATCTAGGACTGACAAGGGAAAGCGAGCTGCTGATAATTCTAGAAAGTCAGGTTCAAAGTCAAGCAAATTGCAGAAAAAACGTAAGCGTTTTGATCATCAGCCTTCAGTGGCTCCGTCAAAAAGGGACAGGAGAGATATGGTCGAAGTCCAACTTAAAGATGAGGTATAATCCCTCTGTTAAGCGTTCTTTCTCAAATCTGAATAGTTTTTGCTCAATAGACTTCAATTTTTTTAATAAGGTATGATATTTTATTAATGAAGGCATCCAGAAGATGCAGTATTACAGAAACTATGATGCTTGGTTCCTATACTAAACTCAAGGAACCCATGAATTCTGAAAGTTGATTTGCATCAGGTGCTTTACTAAAATAATATCAACTACTCAAATTAATAAGACATCTAACTTTTAGGGATGGAATAGAATTTGAGGTTCCTTCAAGACATCTCAGATTCCATCCCCTCTCTATATACAACTAGGAATGGCTTGCCACATATTTCTTCTTGATTTTGCACCTTCCAACTGCACCAACTGATTGAGGCATCCTTCATGCTAAGTAGCACAATCCACTGTAACCCAAAAATGTTTCGGAACATGTCCCATAGACTTCTGGTGATAATGCAAATTAAGAAAAAGTATCTGACGTCCTCCGCGTTAAAGTTGCTCAAGTGATAGCTATTACATGGATTGAAGCCTCTTCATCAGGTTTTGCTCGATATGTTTTATTGTTGCTTTTTCTATGTCTCGAAACAGGCATGCAATGAGACTATAAAAAGGAAAAGAAAACAGGCATGCAATAATGGGAATGCCCTCGGTCTATCTTATCCTTTTAAGGTAAGATATGAATGCTGAAATATTGTGATAACCTACTTTCAAGAGAGGAGACTGTAGTTATGTATTAAGGCCTTCAACGTTGTGGAGCATGCAGAATTATTACCAAAGAGGGATCGAACCTTAATGTTGACCATCATGTCTAGTTAATTGATAATAGTTAATCTGATAGTATACGTTCTTTGATAGAGATTGCGTTGTTCTGGATCTGCCATCAGTTTGGTAAAGCTCTGAAGGGGATTAGACAGCTATAGGAAGCTGTCTGATTAGGAGCGTGCTCTAAACTTCAAGATATAAGAGTAGATAGTAGAAGTAGGCTTCTTGGAAATTATAGGAAGTGTGCATGATGGCAAGGATGAGTAGAATCACAAGGTTGGAGGTTGTTTTTTGAGGTTCCTTATACTTCCTGTTTACTACTTATTTGCTATTGAGTTGATGCAAGACTGGCAAAAATTTCATGGCAGTATTTCTCTTCGGACCTTTTATGGAAAATTCCTACTTGTATGCAAGATAGGTTTTCTCTTGTAGAGAACCGTTTTTGTGTAGGTTCTCTACTCCTTTTTTTTTGGGGTATTATACGGGGTTTCCATCATCAATAGATTTATTTACTTTATCCCCCAAAAAAAGAGAGAGACATAGTTTTGACTTTTGCTAACTTCTCTTCTCTCTAAGTTAGATGCCTTCTTTTTATAAGATAAGAAATTCCATTAATGAAGTACCAAGGAGGTACTGCAAAACAACAAGCAAAAGTTACAGTACTGCTGATTGCTGGCACTAAGTCATCCTCAGAAGCTGCAAAGAATCAATATACTGGGACACATTTTCGATCATGCTGTTCCTACACTAAAAGTATAAATTTTGAAGATTTCTTTTTTTAACAAAAGATATGTGCTGTCTTAGAGGATCTTTGAGAACCATTCTTTGGTGTTAGGTTCATACTTTTTTTTTAGTATAGGGCTTGTATACGGGGCTTTCCCATCATCAATAGAATTTATTTGCTTTATAAAAAAAGAAAAGAGAAACATAGTTTTGATGGTGTCTTTCTCTCTATGTTAGAGGTCATTTGTGGGATGGGTATTATAGGCAGTGTGGAGTACTACTCTAGGCTTCAGTTCATTTTTGTCACAATTCACTCGTTAACTGGCTAGTAAGGATAATAGTAGTTTCCATAAGGATGTGTGCTTTTTGAGGAGACGAGTCTGATTCTACACCATATTCATGATGTTTCTGTTAAAAACAATTTATTACTTGGGTTAGGAAGACCTTGGATGTGATTTTTATGTTTGGTGCAAAATAAGTAAATGGTTTAGCTCGTAATCAAGATCATAAGATTTGCGGTATAGTTGTCAAATTTGAGAGGGAAGGAATAATGGCCCATTAAGGCATTACTGTTAAGGTATTCAAGGTGGTGAACTTGATAATGGAGTAGATGCTGAACTTGGTAAAAACTCAAAAAGCCCTCCTCAGTACATATTCAATTAACTATCCCATGTACGTTTGCGCGTCACAGCAATAGTTTTCCTCTTTTCAGGATGAACAACTCTATTAAAGGGTTTCTGAACAAGTTAGGTAGTGTGAGGGGCCAAGAAAGTCAAGTGAGGAATGAATTCATTTTTTTGGAGAAAATGTGGGTTCTACTTCCTAAGATGATCGTCCAGATTTTGAATAAATGTTTTCTGGGGATTCAAGCTTGATAGATGGATAATAGGTGAGGTGGTATCGTCTAGTGTTATTCTTCTGGAAGAGAACTCTCACGGCAAAGAAGAGAAATTGATGCGTGGACATTAGCATATACTGTGATGTAGCACTTCTCTTAAATTAGAAAGGCAGAAACGATTTTTCTATAGTGGATAAGCTGGTTTTGGGTTACAAAAATCAAGGTTCTGGGTTACAAAAGTTGGAATTTGTGTGGCTTTTCTAGGGTTTAGTGGAACTATAATGACCCCAAAATAAATTCTCAAAACTTCTTAACTTATTAAAAAAGATGGTTTTTTTAGTGTGGGATGTTTTCAGTTCCAGACTATTTTGCTTTATTTATTTCTTCTACATGTGGGACAATTATTTGCTTATTCTGATGTTGTTTCTATTATGTGTAAATGTGCATGTCCACTTTTGCATGTGATTAAATTCTATTTTGGAAGAAAGAACTTTTTCAAAAAGGGAATAGTAATAACCTGATGGAAGAATTACGGCGTCTCAGTTCCCTGTACTTGTGGGATTATCAGCAGTGGTCCTTGACTTCTTCAATAGGGTACTCCTAGTTCTTGCTTCTTTTTGAGTTTAATGGAGAGTGCTTACCCATAAAAGAATTAAAAAGGCAGAAAAATAAAAAGAAATAGTGGAGCTTCGTAGTTTCTTTTTGGATTCTTTCCTAATAATAACAGTTTTGTTTGAAGGGTGTGGATTAACATGTTTTATGAATTAAAGTAAAAAGCCAGAAAAAAGAAAAGCAAAAAAGAGAAGGAAGGGAAACATGAATTTTCTGATATGTCTATTTTTCTTTTTGCTTTAACTGTTATTATAATATGCAAAACTAACTTCATATTTTTTCTTTTGTTGATTCTTTTTTTCTTTTTTGGCTAATGCAGTTGGTTTCTGAAGAGGCTGCTCAGCCATCAGATATGTCTCGTGAAAAAGGAAAAGTTGCTAGTGAACCATTGATTTATGATAATAATGGTCTCGATCTTCAACAGGTACTAGTTCCAAGCACTGACTTATAGGTTTATTATCAATTATTAATAAGGATCTTCTGCTCCTTTTGTCACTCTTTGATGTAATTATTGGAACTTCCTGCTAAAAGGGCTGGAAAACCGAGATTATTGATGATAAACTGTTTTCCTACTTCTGACGCATGCTTAATTGCAGGTTGATAGGGTTCTGGCGTGTCGAGTGCAAGCTGATAGTAATAGTTGTTCTCATGATATCACCGGAGTAAACGCAAATGACCCTCCATTGGAAGATTCAGCAAGTTTAGCAGATAGAGAGAAAGTAAATGATGGAAAACCCAGCTGTGATGTGCCCGTAGTTGAGGAAAGTATACAGTACTCGGGCAGTGGCTCTCGGGAAATTTTGGACATTACTGATGAAGTAAGGAGCTCAAAGGATGATATCAGAAAGGATAAAATTCAAGTGTACAGAAGATCAGGTAGCAAAGAATGCAAAGAAGGAACTGGCACATTGAAGGAAGACCCTCAAGGTCCAGTATCTGAAGGTGCAATCAACACAAATGAAGAAGACACTGCTGTGAATGCTGATGACCCGGCTAATATGCAGAATACTTCTGGAGAAAGCAATGACTCCACTGAGAAGAACTATAATGGCCGTGCCAACTTGAAGGATAATGTCACATCTGGGATTCATGAAGTCAGAAATGGCAAGGGGATAGATGAAATGATTACTACAGATACCAACTCTTTGAAGGAAAGTAAGGAGACTGTCTTGGGTAAGCTGCCACCCTCTAATGGTGTAAATGTCTTTTATGAGTATCTTGTTAAGTGGGTTGGAAAATCACATATTCATAACTCTTGGGTCCCAGAATCTAAACTGAAAGTTCTGGCAAAAAGAAAACTGGACAACTACAAGGCAAAGTATGGGACAGCAACAATAAATATTTGTGATGAAAGGTGGAAGATGCCTCAGCGGATAATTGCAACTCGACCTGGTACGGCTGGTTCAGCTGAAGTTTTTGTGAGATGGACTGGCCTTCCTTATGATGAATGTACCTGGGAAAAAATAGAGGAACCTGTGATTGCAAAATCATCTCATTTGATTGATCAATTCAATCAGTTTGAATCCCAAGCATTGACTAGAAATGCTACCAAGGATGATGTGGTGAGCAAAAGGAGAGAATTCCATCAGAATGATATAGTCACTCTGACAGAGCAGCCTAAAGAACTGCAAGGAGGCGCATTATTTCCACATCAAATGGAAGCCTTAAATTGGTTGCGCAAGTGCTGGCATAAATCCAAGAATGTTATTCTTGCTGACGAGATGGGGCTTGGGAAGACAGTATCAGCTTCTGCTTTCTTATCATCATTGTATACTGAGTTCAATGCTGCTCTTCCCTCTTTAGTTTTGGTTCCTCTATCCACAATGCCAAACTGGATGGCAGAGTTTCAGTTATGGGCTCCACACCTAAATGTTGTAGAATACCATGGGAGTGCTAAAGCAAGAGCTGTGATTCGCCAATTTGAATGGCATGCAAGTGATCGAAGTAATCTGAGTAAGAAGCCGACGTCGTACAAATTTAATGTTCTTTTGACTACTTATGAAATGGTTCTCGTTGATTCCACTTTTCTGCGTGGGATTCCCTGGGAAGTTCTTGTGGTTGATGAGGGACACCGTCTTAAAAATGCTAGTAGTAAGCTCTTTAGCATGCTCAACACGTTCTCGTTCCAGCATCGAGTGCTATTGACTGGTACTCCTCTTCAGAACAACATTGGCGAGATGTACAACTTATTAAATTTTTTGCAGCCATCTTCATTTCCTTCACTATCGTCATTCGAAGAGAAGTTTAATGATCTTACAACGGCGGAAAAGGTGGAAGAATTGAAGAAGCTTGTTGCTCCGCACATGCTTCGCAGGCTGAAAAAGGATGCTATGCAAAATATTCCTCCTAAAACTGAAAGAATGGTTCCTGTTGAGTTATCTTCTATTCAGGCAGAATATTACCGTGCAATGCTTACAAAGAACTATCAGCTTCTTCGCAACATCGGGAAAGGAGTTGCACAACAATCGATGCTGAATATTGTTATGCAGTTAAGAAAAGTTTGCAACCATCCTTATCTCATACCAGGAACTGAGCCTGAATCTGGATCACTAGAATTTCTTCATGAAATGAGGATAAAGGCTTCTGGAAAGCTGACTCTTCTGCACTCTATGCTCAAAAGTTTGCATAAAGAAGGTCACAGAGTCCTCATATTTTCACAGATGACGAAGCTTCTAGATATTCTGGAGGATTACTTGGTAATTGAGTTTGGGCCAAAAACATATGAGAGAGTTGATGGTTCGGTTGCTGTGGCTGATCGTCAAGCAGCAATAGCGCGGTTTAATCAGGACAAAAGTCGATTTGTATTCTTATTATCAACGCGCTCTTGTGGCCTGGGGATCAATTTGGCTACTGCGGATACTGTTATTATCTACGATTCTGACTTCAATCCACATGCAGATATCCAGGCGATGAATCGGGCTCACCGTATCGGACAGTCAAAGAGACTTCTAGTGTACAGGCTAGTAGTCCGTGCCAGTGTTGAAGAACGGATACTTCAGCTTGCGAAGAAGAAGTTGATGCTTGATCAGCTTTTTGTGAACAAATCAGGATCCCAAAAGGAGGTTGAAGACATCCTCCGATGGGGAACAGAAGAACTTTTCATTGATTCCTCTAGCATGTCAGAAAACGATGCTGTTGGAGATGAAACAGTTCCTGAAGTAGAGCATAAGCGCAGGAGGACTGGTAGCCTGGGTGATGTGTATAAAGATAAGTGCACCAAATGCAGCACTAAGATTGTTTGGGATGAAAATGCCATTTCGAAATTGCTTGACCGTTCAAATCTTCAGTCAGATTCAGCTGATAACAATGAGGCAGATATGGAGAATGATATGCTTGGTTCAGTGAAGGTAACCACAGCTCTTCCACAGTTGTCAAAAAAGCATATTTCTTAAATGATGCCAGACAAGTGAGACTTTTCCAACTCTATTATTCAGAAGTGGAAGATTGAAAATTAGGGCCTGATTTATAGCTCAAACTGTGAGGAAAGATAGTGGGTACCTAAGGACAGTTGGAAATTGTAAACTGAGAATGATTACAATTTAGGGTTTTAGTCATATTTGGCTTATTACTTCCGTTCATCATAGTAACAGCAGTAGGAATTGAACTTATTTGATAAATAAGAATCATGAATTAAAGAGAGTTGAAACAGATTTGCGAAAGTGAAAAAACATAAACGCCACAGCATAATTCTCATGAAATCCATTTGACAAAAGTTTCGACGCAACTGTATCTTACTTAGGGACTTAAAGCCTCCAAGGAAACTAGCTCTTGATTTCCAAAATACGTATTTCAGATATACTTGTAAAATTTTAAATCGTCTATCTAAAGACCCATAACTAGATTTTGTGCTGTTATTGCTGAAAGCTACTAAATGACCAAACTACAGTTGGCGTGTAAAACTTAGCAATGTCAACTTAATCCGAATTATAACTTTTCCAGCCAATCTTAAGTAGAAAAGTTTCTCTGGAAACATCCAGCAGGTAATTTGTCATCTATGAAACAGTCTTTGTGTTCGTTGTGGGTTTTGTAGCTTTCATTTTTTCTGATGTGAAAGAAAACTTAGAGTTTGTGTTCTAACTCCATAAGTTGGCCTTTGGCCTGTTGAGTTGTTTAAAATTTAAATGCTCTTCAGAAGTTTTCTCTGATTCAACCTACTAGGGAAAACATGCTGAATTTATAGAAACTTTAGTTCCCCTTAATTAAATTGTGTTTCAGACTCTTTCTACATTATTTACAAGCGTAAAGTTTCTTCATTTGTTCTGTTTCTCCTGGAAGATTAAGACTGATATAGCACATAAGGTACGATTGATTCTAAGTAACGAGAAATCTATTAAAGTGGGTATATCCTAATTCTAAAAAAAGCAATTAAAGTGGTATATGTTTTAGCTGTATTAATATTAAATATGTTTGTATTTGAATGGGCTACTGTGAATTTTCACTGGATGGATATACATGCTAAAAAAGATGTAGAATCACTTTACTAACTTTAATGTTCTAACAGAGCTCTGCATGGAAATGAAATTTGTTATGTTTCTTATGTATTAGGTTGGATATTTATGGCGACGTGGTTGGTTTTTGGTCTGGTATGGCATGTAATGACTGTCACACATTCCATTTATTATGGTTCTGTATCTTTGTAAAATGAGCTTTTTTTGGCAGTCCATGCCGTGAATTTAAAGCTTTTCTTTTTATTTAACCACTCTCTTGTGCTTGTTAGTATTCTATAGTTACACAGTTATGATTCTCTAGTTGTCTTTAACATGACATGCTATTTACAAAAATATTTATGATTCTATTTGTCTTTAACATGACATGCTATTTACAAAAAAGAATTCTAAGGTATTTCTTTATGCTTTCTGATTCAATAAGGAAGTAATTTTTTTTATGAAGAAATAAGGAAGTAATTTTTGCTGCTTTGGAAATTCTTGTGCTAGTTCTTTGTAACAACAATCATTATAAGATCGTTACAATGTCTTTCTGAATCTTTTCTTGTGCCTGTTGTGTTTTCTTTTGTCTCTTTTGTTAGTCATTGGAATGGAACGAGGAAGGTGCAGAAGAGCAAGTTGGAATAGCTTCACATATGGTGGTGAGTGAAGACACTTGTGTACAAAATGTAGAGAAGAAAGAGGATAACTTGGTTGGTAGCACTGAAGAAAATGAGTGGGACAAGCTTCTAAGAGTGAGGTATTGTTTTTGCTACGTTATTTGTATTTGTTTGATAGTATACTATGCTATATGGACTCAGCTATGCATATCTATTCCATGCGTGTGTGCACAAGTATCAACAATATGTGCAGTTTTTTCTTTATATTGGAGAATCTGCACAAAGTATACCATTGTCACACCCGTTCGGTATGAGTATGTTAAGACAAATAAATGTCTAACATAGTTTATATATGAATTTCTTGAAGGTTGAAAAGGATAATGTTTTGAATTTGTCTTCTATTTATGTGTTTAAGGAATTATCTCGGAAGACCTACAATTTCTTTGAATCCATGCAAACCTAGCATAACATAGGGCACAATGTAAAGAAAAGATCTATATAGGTGGTACTAAGTTGAGATTGCGTCTTAGATCATTTTATTACAATTAGTCTAGGTCCAATATTTGCTAGGAGTCTTTTCATAAGCTTACCCCAACTTCTTGAGATTGAGGCATTGTTGTTGTTATATACTTATACTTGTGTCTTTGCTTTGCATTAAGTAACTATGACAACATGTCTAACCAGTTGTCCAATTAAAAGAACTCATCCTACAGTGAATGGATTTTTAATGAATGCTTCACTTTCTTATGCTAAAGATATTCCTGCAAAAAAAATATTTGATAGTTATATTCTTGCAAAACTGTTTCCGGTGAGCTAGCTCTATTTTCTAGTAATTAATGAAAGGAAGCTCTTTGACTACTTCAATTACTACCTTAGCAGATCAAAAAGAATAATTACAAAGACTTTTCTTGAGGTTGCTCTCTATATTTCTTGTTCACAAAGCTCAGTCCTTGTTACCAAGGCCAATCGCTTCCACCAACTCTTTCAGTTTATCTACTAGCGCTTGATTTTGGGCATTGTTTATAAGGCATGTGATGATAGTGAGCCCCAGATTTGGTTCTCCAGAAACCCTCCATCACAATCTTCTAAATCTGCATAAAATACATTTTCTAGAAAGTTCCTTCAAATTCGTGATGCCATGTAAAACATTTCTGGTTCTTCTCTGGTGCACTTATTACAAGTGATAGTGTACTCCTATTAGAGGAAGCTGGTAAAGGTAGACTGATGACAATCACCCGCCTATCTATGACACTAATGCTCCACATGCTATTGAATGTTATGCTGCTTTTCCTCATTGTAGAAGCACAAAAGGTTGCTTTGTCTTATAGGATCCACTTTGCATGTTCATTGGAAGATATTACAGATTTGAAACAATGGTGGCACAGGCAGTCACAAGACAAGTACAGGATTCAACTCTTGTAGGATTCACTAGTACTGGCTTCCAGTAGACAATGTAGAAGAGAAACCAGTGTGTTTGTATTTGAAACAATGGATGTGTTAGTGGTGTAGCATTGTTGCAACCATGGGTAAAACTTTTACAATCATTTTCTATACCTTCCAGAGGTTGTTTCAAGTTAGTTTTCACTTGTCTTGGAGTCTTTTTCCCTTTCTTTTGGCCGACGATTCTTCTCGGAGAGAGAAATTATGAGCAAAGCACAGAGAGAAGTATTAGAAATTATCCATCTTGGTTTATGTAAATTTTAAACTGCACATGCTTGGAACGGTTTAGAAGCTTGATGTAGTACTGGAAAGCTTTGCTGCGTTCTCAACGCTTGAAAGATAGTAGTGGTGCTTTTATACAGGAAATGGATGTTGGGCTCAAGGAGACGAAAATATTTGGTAATTTGATAAAAATCTTTCAGTAACATGATTGCTGCTTTTGATGGCTGAATCAGTGATTCATGCCCAGGAGTCACTTGATTGATTGGTGAACAAAATGAAGAGTCAAACTTTAGTACTTAAGAATGCAAGTTTCAAAACCATGTTAAATGATTACCTTTGAAGTGGTATACTTTATTGCGGCTTTTGGACACTTTCATCACGTTCTTGTGCTTGTAGATGGGAGAAATATCAGAGTGAGGAGGAAGCAGCTCTTGGTCGAGGCAAGCGTCTAAGGAAATCTGTTTCTTACAGGGAAGCATATGCTTTACACCCCAATGAAACATTAAATGAGGTACTTCCATATTGTAAATTTGTATTTCATGTTTATAGCAGTAAAGTGATAACTTGGGGAATGCAGACTTTTATAATCTGAACCTTTATCTTTTGTTTGGATAAATTATTCAATCCATCCCCTCAAAATTGTTCGGAATCAGTGTCTTCAATCTTTAAAATTTCGACGTCAACTACCAATTACAGTATTGTGATTCCACAAGCATATAGTTTGTTATTTTGAAAAATAATGAATTTAATATGGATGATTGTTCCCTAGGAGGGAGTCGCTCTGTAGTTGTCTCATTAGGACATCGTTTTAGATCACTAATTTTGTCCAATAACTGAAATTACAGAGTGGTGTGGAAGAGGAGCAGGAGCCTGAGCCTGAGCCTGAACCAGAACGAGAATACAGTGCAGCAGGACGCGCATTGAAGGCAAAATAGTGAGTTATTTGGGCTCTTATCAGCATCTAAATGGTTACAGATTTGCTTTACTGTATTGAGATGGTTCTATTTACCATCTTCTTAATATTAAACATTTTCTTTACGACTCTGGGGAAAAAAGTGGCATGCACGATATTGGAATTTCACTTCTTTGTGGCAGCATTATATGAAAAACTTGGCTATATCTGTAAATTATGAACTTTGAAAGATAATATTTATGTGATTGCTTTTGTTGCTTTGGGCAGTGCTAAGCTTCGTGCTAGGCAAAAAGAACGGCTGGCCCGGAGAAATGCAATTGAAGCGTCTGGCCCCATGGAAGGACTGGCTGGACAAGAGTCTCTCTGTCATCTCCTTCCTCCGCAAGCTCATGATGTGAATCCAATAAATGTACCATTGCAAACCCGTGAAGAGAAACATGCATCTATGAACTTGGATAACAATAGCTGTCTTAAATCATCAGAGGCGCAGAAAAACATTGCTGACTCAACCTTAAGGTTGGGAAAGTTGAAACATAAATTGAACGATAGCATAGATGTTCTAGTTAAGACAAGTGGTCATCCTCTTCCAGACATTCCCCAGTCAAGCAATCATGCACAAGAGATGAGCTGCATCAATTCAGTGGCCAACGAGCACCTTTTGCCGGTTCTGGGACTATGTGCTCCTAATGCTCATCAGGCGGAGGCACCACAGAGGAACTTTTCAAAGTCGAACAACCGGCAACACAGGCAAGGATTGGGACTGGAGTTCCCACATATTGCGCCCCGCTCTAAGCTTTCAACTGAAATGGTTGCTAAATGCCAGGAAAGCTTCTCCGGGAGATTCAAATTGCCAGATCTTCCCCTCGATCCTTCACAACAGCCTCCAAAGAGTAGCTTACCTGATTCTTATCTTCCATTCAATCCTGTATGCTCTCTCTCTCTCTCTCTCTCTCTCTCTCTCTCTCTCTCTCTCTCTCTCTCTCTCTCTCTCTCTCTCTCTCTCTCGTTGTGTTTGTGTCTAATGTGTTTTCATGCATATTAAAATGTAAAATAATGCGTGTGTAAATTCCTAATGTTGGCTTTTCTGCAGCATCCTCTATCTGTTATGCCAGAAAGACGTTCTGCTGGTAATGGTGCTACTTTATCTGAAATTCAAGCAAAGACAGGACTGCCCAAATCTTTTGATGAGCCATTTTTACCAAGATACCCATTTCCTGCCATGAACATGCCCCATCCACCCTCTGACTTGTTTCCCAGCTTGTCTTTGGGATCAAGATTTGCAGATGTGAATGAGTCTATCCATGAGCATCCTGTACCGCCGATTTTGCCCAATCTCAAGTTTCCACCTCATGAATCATCTAGGTTTAACCCACAAGAGCAACAGATTCCTCCAGTACTGGGGTTAGGGCAGATGGCATCGTCATCATCATTTCCCGAAAAACATAGGAAGGTTCTTGAAAACATTATGCTGAGAACTGGGTCAGGATCGGGATCAGGATCAGGATCAGGCAACCTACTCAAAAGGAGAAACAAACTGGACATTTGGTCTGAGGATGAACTGGATTATCTCTGGATTGGTGTACGTAGATATGGAAGGGGCAATTGGGATGCCATGCTACGAGATCCAAAGTTAAGATTTTCCAAGTATAAAACTCCTGAAGATTTGTCAATTAGGTGGGAAGAAGAGCAGCTCAAGATCTCGGAGGGGCCACCAGTACCTGCACCTAAACCATCCAAGCCTACCAAAGTGGGAAAATCAAGCTTCTTCTCAGGCATTTCTGACGCAATGATGGCTCGAGCATTGCATGGTTGTAAGCTAAATGAGCAGCTCTTTCCAACACACCTAACAGACATGAAATTGGGATTTGGTGATCTGTCTTCAAGCTTCCCAAATCTGGAACCTCGTGAGCAACTTGGTCTGAATAACAATCAGTTCGCACATCTTCCAACTCCCAGCACTGACAAGTATCGGGTGAACATTCCTCGAGATTTTAATGTGGGACCCTCTGACAGACCAGGGCCATCCTCAGGTTCTCTTATGGAGTCGCCGTTTCTGCTGAATTCGTTGGGCAGCAGTAGCTTGGGTCCTCTTGGTTTGGGTGGCCAGAACAGGTTTGACTTGCAAAAGGAGAATGACATTGGTGCAAGCAGATTTGTTAAATTGCCTAACCTTCTTGACAGGTCATCAAATATCTCACATGATTCACATAACAATGGGGGAGGTGGTGAATCCAGCAATCTTCCATCGCTTCCTGAACTTAATAAAGGTCAGAATGTTTCTCAATCAAAGGGCAAGGAAGTGGCAGAATGTAGTTCACCGAAGAATAAGCTACCACATTGGCTTCGTGAAGCAGTGAATACTCCAGCAAAACCTCCTGAACCGGATTTACCACCAACTGTCTCTGCAATTGCTCAATCAGTTCGCTTGCTATATGGGGAGGAGAAGCCCGCCCTCCCTCCATTTGTCATTCCTTCTCCACCTCCATCTCGACCCAGGGACCCACGGCTGAGCTTGAAAAAGAAAAAGAAGAAGAAACACGGACTGCAAGTGATGAGGCAGTTCCAGAAAGATTTTGCAGGAACTAGTGACGTCCAGGGTAGCTTACATGGTGAGGGTATCGCTGGAATGAGTGGTCAACAAGATCCATCATTCCCTTTGCTTTCTAGAATGATGGCCAGAACTTCAGGACTCCCTTCGGTTGAAGCTAACCTTAATATGCCTCCTCTAAGTCTATATGCCAACCCTTCAACTAGTTCAGTTAATACATTTCACCTAAAAAAGACGAGTGCTGGATTGTCTCCCTCACCCGAAGTGCTTCAATTGGTTGCATCCTGTGTTGCACCAGGTCCACCTATTGCTACTAGTTCATGTTTACTTGAAAATATGGTCCTTCGCCCTAAATCTGTTGATAAGGTTGCATCGTCTGACACCCAAGATTCACTAGGAAAGCAGAAAACAAATCAGGTCTCAGCTCCTAGTACATGGGGTCCAATTCAGGCAGAGAAAGAAGTTGAAACTGATAGTGGGGATTCTAGCAAAACTCAGTCAGATCCTGCTCGGGCTGGACAGGTGGACGTAGAGGAAATATCATCTGAAGGGACAGTCTCGGATCATCGGACAGATGACTGTGAACCATAGCTCTTTCCTATGGGGAGTTAATTGTACTCATCTCTTGCCGTGTAACTGAAAGTCTCTAAGCCTCCATTATTCTCAGTTTTTGTAGGGCAGGATGCAGTTAAAGTAGCAAATACAGTACAGGTTAGACCAATTATTATGTAAAGCTTGTGTAAGAGAAAAGAGAAAATGTAGAAGTTAGCATATAATGTTGTCGTCGTTCTTAGAGTCGCAAGGTTTTGACCTTGTAAGACTTATTTACCCTAGGGTGCTGGATTCAGCATTTGATTTAGGACTTCCCAAGTGTCAAAGTGAGGCTCATGTTAGCAAATTTTGCTTGTATGTATTTTATGCAAAGTGGTGTCTGGAACATACAATTCTCCTATTTTTATCACTGTTGATTTAGTGTCACGACCCAAAATCTGCTAGTCGTGATGACACCTAGCTCAACCCGCTAGGTAAGCCAAATATACTATCCAATTCCAATAATATTTAATAACTCAATTTATCAAAAGAAATTATCTGAATCTTATATATTTCTCAAGGACTGGTAGTACAAATTATGAACTTCTAAGAACAGAGTTTGCAAGCTGGTATGAAATAAATACATCTTCTATTTGAAAGTACATAAATAGAGTTTTATAATTTAAGGCTACCATGAACAAGAGGCATCTACAACAGGGACGCAAGTACACATTCAATGCTAGCTCCCGCCATGCACAACAACATCGGCATCCAAAATCTGCACGCAATGTGCATGAAGTGTAGTATGAGTACAACCGACCCCATGTATTCAATAAGTAACAAACCTAAACTTAGGTTGAAAGCAGTGTTGAGCTGGAACATGGTCGGGTCCAACACCAGTAGCCAACAACAATTCATAACAACATAGAGCATATAAATATGGAAGTAACTCAGAGAATATTTGCTCAGCTTTTTTCACAGTTTTTCAAAAAATAGTTCTGCTTTTCTAGAATATTAGTGAAAATCCAACCCTTTACCGAAATCTTCGAAAAATACGAGATAGTTTGAAAACTGTAATTTCTCCCAAAAATCCTTCCCACAATGAATAAGATATTTCATTTTCTTTCCAAATGGCAAGCGTGAGATACCTCTCTAAGCACACATATCAATGTGTGTAAAAGAAATAATGAACGACGTGATACCGTACATTATGAGGAAAAATGCATCTCTATGCGTGTATGTCATGTATGCATGCCAATGCCATGTATCCCAGAGATGAAACATGAACTCATACTCTCCACTCAAAAATGCTCAACCACTCGGTACTGTATATGGCTCATACGGCCCAGGAAGATCCATCCCAGAATATATACATCACTGATCATCAGTCACTCAGTACCGAGGAAGGCCAATCCGGCCCCATGGAGAAGATTCATCTCCAGGTATATATAAATGCTCAACCACTCGGTACTGTATACTGTATATGGCCCATGTGGCTCAGGGAAGATCCATCCCGGAATATATATATATATATATATATATATCAATCACTGACTATTAGTCGTCAGTGCCGAGGAAAGGCCAATCCATCCCCATGGAGAAGATCCTTCTCCAAGTCCCGGGAAGATCCATCCCTAAATATAATCAAACGCGCTCACTAGGGGTGTGTACAGACTCCGGAGGAGCTTCTTCAGCCTAAGCGCTATCATAAATCAGAATAACCGCTGCGGCTTTTGCAGCCCGATCCCATAACTGTCACTCATAATCAGGCTCTCGGCCTCACTCAGTCATCAATCTCTCCAGTCTCATCCACGGGCTTACAATGTCATGAAAACTGACCTAGAACAATGATATGATCTATCAATAAGTAGCAACTGAGACTGAGATATGATATGAATGCATGAATATGACTAAGTACGGGATATCAATGAAATCAATGAGATGACAACAAGAATCGACTGCTATAGGTCCCGACAATATCAGTATAAAGCCTCAACATGATATCTAGCATGATGTACAACTCAATTGCTTTATAACATGGTGAAAACGCAGATATCAACAAAGTAGGGCCACTATGCAGTGCCATGAAGACAATGGAGTCACCATTCACAGGGTGCACGCCCACACGCCCGTCACCTAGCATGTGCGTCACCTCAACACCAATCACATAGCACATAATTCGGGGTTTCACACCCTCAACACTAAGTTTAGAAGAGTTACTTATCTCAAACAAGCCAATTTCAAATATCGAGCAAGCCAAGCGATACTCCAAGAATGCCATCTCACGCGTAGCGACCTCCGAACGACTCAAAACTAGTCTAAAGCAACTCAAATACATCAGATAAAGCCCAATGAAGCAATTACAAATGATAAAGCTCGAATCCTAAATCAAGTCCCAAGTTCGGCCAAAAATCACACTCGGGCCCGCACCTCGAAACCCGACAAAATTCACAAAATTCGACAACCCATTCAATTACGAGTCCAACCATACTAGTTTCACTCAAATCCGACTCCAAATCGATGTTCAAAACACAAAAAATCATATTATGAAACTTTAGGCCAAAACCCCCAATTTTCATCTCAAAATACTAATTAAATGATGAAAAAAAATGATATATTCATGTATATTAACCAAATCCGAGTTAGAATCACTTACTCCGATGATTTTCTTGAAAAATCCACGAAAATTCGTCACAAACCGAGCTCCCAAAATCCAGAATGTAAAATAATACCCTAACCCTCGTTTATATAGTACCAAAGCTGCCTTCCAAAGTGCGGTCCGCACATTTCCAAGTTCTGCGGTCGCAGAAAAATTGTGCGGCCGCACTTCATAGCCTCTCCACTACCAGGCTTTAGCAAAATGGCTATAACTTTCTGTACAAATGTTCAAATGATGATTTCTTTATCTTTTTTGAAACTAGACACGAACGGCTACAATTTTCGTTTTTGAATCATCTCCGAATTCCTTGTGGATCTAAAGATATAAGCTTCCGAAGTCGGACCAGCGTACCTGCAGAACACCCTGAAGTGCCGCCGCAGATAAAATTGTGCGGTCCGGACTTTTCCTCTGCGGTCCGCACATTTTCGTCTGCTGCAACACTTTCTCATCTGCTACAACACTCAAAATGTGCCTCAGCACATGGAATTGTGTGGTCCGCACTTCCAACGTTCGAGAACAATGTCAGAGTGTCAAAATGCCCGGACTTGCTCAAAACTCACCCCGAAACTCACCCGAGGCCTCCGGGACCTCAACCAAAGATACCATCAAGTCCTAAAATACCATACGAACTTGGTCGAACCCTCAAATCACCTCAAACAATATCAAAAATACGAATTACACAAGAATTCAAGCCTAATGAACTTTAAAATTTACAACTTCTACAAACGACGTCAAAACATATTAAATCACGTCCTATTGATCTCAAATTTTGCACACAAGTCATAAATGACACCACAAACCTACTCCAACTTCCGGAAATCCAATCCGAGATTAAACACTAAAAAGTCAAACTTGATCAACCTTTTCAAATTTAAAGCTTCTAGCTGAGAATCATTCTTCCAAATCAATTCTGAATAACCTGAAAACCAAACCGACGATTCACATAGTCATAATACATCATACGGTGCTATTCATGTCATCAAACAACCGAGCAGAGTGCAAATGCACAGAACGACCGCTCGGTCGTTACATTTAGAAGGTAGAGATGTTGTGGCTAAATTGGAAGTACAATGAAATCTAAAATCTAGTTAGTTTAATCATGAGCCAACACACACCCAATCATGTATCTCACCACCCTGATAATGCACCCCCTGACATAGGAAACATGCAAATTGATAACCCAATCCCAACTACATCAAAGGCAACTTTTCTCCAAACATTTTGTTCTACCACCCCCTCGTTCCACTTCCCAACGGCTTGTCACTGTGAGCACGTGATTTTTGCCCTATATGAATTACTCCCATAATTTCAAACAAAATAATTTCTTTCATTATTTGTATTTTGTGGAGTTTTGTGTGGCATTTTTTGTTGATTATTCGCATTTGTTTGTGCATTTTCAATTCATATAAAAATACAAAAATATATGCATTGCATTTTAGGATTTAATTTTGCATATTTTTGGAATTAATTGGTAATTAGGAGTTTACTTTTGTTTTAATTTTAATTTTGGAATTTTGGTAGTTTTCCCTTAAAAATTAGTTTCTTAATTATTTGTGGTAATTGTTAGTTATAGTTAGTTAATTCATATGGTAGGACAATTTGATTTAGGAATTAATTTTTAGTTTTAATTTAAAAGAAATTAACAAAAGAAAAAAGAGGAAATAAAAGGAAGTAAAGAAGGGAGTATGATTTTGGGCCAATCAAGGATTTAATGCCCCAGCCCAATTAATTAAACCTGCCGCCCCAGCTCAAACCCGTCTCCCAACCCGGTCCAGCCCCCACCCCCTTTAAAAACGGCATCATTTAAGTAAAGTTTAATCCCAGCCGTCGAGGTTTAATGATCGGACGGCTGGGGAGCTTGGACTTCTTACTATTTAACTGTCCAAACGCCTCCTTACCCCCCCCCCCGTCTCGTCTCTCACACAAACCCTAGCCCACCCCCGTCTCCCACCGTCTACCACCCTAGACCGCCGTCGGAAATCGCCTCACGGCGGCGGCCGGCCACCAAATAACTCCAACTTTACACCACGAAACCCCATCACCCTCCCCATTCCAAATCCGTGATCAGCATCCCTCAAATCCCACCAAATTTTGACGTATAATCCAAACCCTAGGCGCCGCCTTCAAACCACCCCAAAACAATACCCCATGACCCCCAGGCCTCCTTCATGCCTAATATGACAATCACATCCTTCGAATCCACCCAGAATCGCTCCATTCTTAGATCCGAGGTCTAGCTTCAACGGTTCAAACTCAAGCCTTTGTTCTGCATAAATTGACGCTGCTCGTATATGCTAGAACATCAAACGTAGTGTCAAATTAAACCAGTAATATCCCCTTTTCCATATTTTTTTATGAGAATTGATTTAGAATTTTTAGGGTTCTTAATTGATTTTTGTTCGTTCTGTTTTTTTGTTTTAATTTTGATTTTTGGTTTGATTCAGTGTTTAGCTCTATTAACATCGGCTTTAAATCTTTAAATTTTCACTTTTTATTGATTAATTAGTTAGATTTGATTTTTCTGTTTATTTTTTTCAGTTTTTCTTAGAATTAATGTTAACTCAGTTTGATTCATATTTCTGTGTTTGATTTCGATTGTTGCTGTGATATTGATTTTATTTTTTGTTTTTAATTTGCTGGTAGTTCACTGTTGTTAGTCTTAGCCTTAGTATTAATTAGGGTTGAATTCTCATTTTTGGTTAATTAGTTCAATTGTTAAGTTTTCTATTATAATTGTTTGGGTATAACTGAGTGTTCCAGGCTTTAATTAGTTAACTATGGT